AAATTTTCCATCTCTGTCTCCTACCTGCCACAGCCAACCCTCCTTTGGTTCTTGTCCCTGTAGGGTAAAATTTGAAGTAATGCCTATGTCGGATCATGGATTTGAGAGCTAGCATTGTCTTCTATTTACAGGTGCCATTTACAACAACAAAGTAATTTCTCTTCTTTTTAAGTCTTTCCCTTGCTCTCTAACTCCTGGAGATGAAAAGAAAGATGTTTGAGGCTAACAAAAAAAGCACCAAAAAACAAAAAACGTTTCAAGATAAGTTTTAAACCTATAAGTTCCTCTGCACTCACATTTAGCAGAAATAAATTAACTGGTTTTGAAGTTTAGATAAAAAAGAAATCCTTTATATCAGCTCTCTGGGAGGAACTACTGTGATGTGGATGATGATCCAAGCTTTCTTTTGGGGGCTCATTATCAGAAATTCCCACCAAATGAGATGAGATGAGCATCTAATCCAGTTCATATGAGTGCTTAATTGCCCAGATACCATGTTAAATCAATTTACAGAACTCTTGACTTTAAGGTCTTTTAAGGAAATACTTCTCAAATTTTAACATGCATACAGATCACCTGGGAATCTTGTCAAAATCCACATTCAGTAGGTCTGGAGTGGGGCCTGACCTTCTCTCTGTCTAGCAGTCTCGCAGGGCATGACCATGCTGTTCATCAGCAGCGGACCACACTTTGTGTTGCCAGGTTTTAAGGCACCTGCATTCTGCATCTTAACATGAGGCTTATATTTCTAGCCAAAGTTTTAATTTGTAGCATGACCATTATGTGTGCAATACTAACTAGAAAGCTTAAATTATGTCTTTTAATCCTCAAAATAACTCTGTCAAGTAAATAAGCAAATGTTGGCTTTCAGAGAAATTAATTCTTTTGCCAAGGTCCCCCAGCTAGTAGGTGCCAGGGATTTGGACTCGGGCTTTTCTGACTCCAAAGCCAGAGCGCTAGTGTGTGTATGGTACATATAAGATCTTGTACAGAGCACTTTGAGAGAGAGGCAAGCATTTCTACCCTTTGGAAGTCAACAATACGAAGGCAGAAAAAAACAATATAATGGCAGAAACTGGGCATACACATAAAAAGATAACAGTTTTTAAGTGTTTTGCAAGGATCACAGAAATATAGAATATTGAGTTTAATAATAATAAAATTGGAAAGGGAAAAGATTACTCAACATATTTTTATAGAATTACTTTGGATTAACTCTCATTAATCTCCCTTGTATTAAACTATGGAAATGTTGCCAATAGAAATCAAAATCTAGCACTAGCACACTTAACAGAAAGCATATTTCAAGAGTTTAGAAAAGAAAGCTCTTGGTCATGGAGAAGTAGAGGAATTGAGAATATCTTCAAAGAAGAGAGATGCATCTTGGATAAAAACTGAAGACAGCACATCTAGGGAAAGGGTATGAACAAGAGTGTATGAACAGTGGCTTGTGGTGGAGATTGAATGAACCTATGTAATTAGAGCAGAGAACTCATCATTTGAAGACTGTATCAGTTACCAATTGCTGCATAACAAACCATACCAAAACTTTGAGACTTAAAACAACCACCACTGATTTAGTTCCCAGTTCTGCCCAAGGCTTCTTCGGGTCTGGGCAAGGCTGGGCTGATCTCAGCCCGGGTTGTTGAAGTGTCTGGTCAGTAGGAGAATCAGATGGCAGCCCCAGGTGGCCTTGCCAACATGTCTAGTGGTTGGTTAGGGCACCGAGTATGAATGGGCTTTTGTCTCTCATCAACAAGCTGCACAATGAGAAGGGCACCAAAGCGCAGGCCCCAGTGAACCAGTGGTTTTTAAGCTTCTGCTTGTGGCACAGTTGCTAACATCCCATTGATCAAAGCAAATCACAGGGCCAACCCATATTCAAAAGACAGTATGGGTATGTCTTGATGGAAGAGAATTGTCAGCATTCCAACCAAGGCCAATTGAAGATAATAGTAAAGTTGGACCTTTGCCCAGGGTTGGGGTTGAGGGCGAGAAAGGAGTCTCCAAGGTCCCTTCAAGGGCTCCACTTGTATGATTATGTAATTCAAAATGTCGATGTGTCATTGAAAAAAAGTCTATAAACTAGCTACCCATGGTTAAAAATACATAATGGTAGAGAGCTATAAAAAAAAGTCTCCTCCCCTAGCCCCTTCATTGGCACTCCCCAGAGGGAAATACTGTTTTCAGCCTTATGGTTATCTTTTCTGGCAGTACTAAGTTTTTCTTAGGGGTTTTTGCCAATATGCAGTGTGAGCTTTGTTGAACACAAGTTAAATGTTCTGTATAGAATTATTGATATTTTTGTATCTTTTTGGCATTGAGCTCTAGACAGGTTACTGTTACTGAACTGTTACTACTGTTACTGAACAGTTATTATGAGAGCCAGGCATTAGTCATTTAGCACATGAAAACTACCAAGGCTCAATTTCTACCTCTGCTCACTCAGAGTGGAGTGATTTCTGTGTCTCTGGGACCAGGAAAAGGAATGAACTCTGGTGGCGCAGACAGGAAATTACTCTTCAATACTGTTAGTGCCTTCTTCCTGTTTTACCCAAAGATAAAAAGTAGGCATTTGAGGACGTGTTCTCTTGAGGCAAGTTTCACTTCTCCACAGTAATTCCCATAAACCACTCTCCAGTCTGCGCTCCAAGGTAATCCATTTGAACCCCTCTCTCGATCTGTTTGCCTCCCTAAAATTCATGAGGAAATGACATTGTTGTATTGACAAAGCTTTTATCCCAGGTACAAGACAAATCAAGAAAAACTGGTTCTTGCCAGTCCTCTTACACAGGCCCCCTCCACACACTAGGGCTGAGGCGTCAGCGCTGTGTGCGGGATTCACTCACCCAACCCAAATTGGGAAGTACTTCCCACAGAACTGGGTGAAACTGGAGTGACCTGGGAGAAAAGTCCCTCCATACAAGAATAGTACCTTGTCAAATAATTAACTACTCTGTCTTTATACTTTTAAATTCTAAAGTCATTTTTGCATGCAACACCTCACATTAGAAGGTAATTTCCCAGGGGAAGTTTTAAGGTGTGTACTCCAAACTTGGCAGGTTGAACTTAGTCAAGTAATGCCTTCGTTAACAACTTGGGCCTTAGCTAGCCTGCCAGTAAGAATGAGGAGGGTGGGAAGAGAACAGTGGGATGTTTTCCAAAGTTGTCTCATTTTTAAAGTCATCTGAGATGGGGCGCCTGGGTGGCTCAGTCGGTTAAGCGTCTGACTCTTGATTTGGGCTCAGGTTATGATCTCAGGGTCTGGAGATGGAGTCCACATAGGGCTCCATGCTCAGCAGGGAGTCTACTTGAGAATCCCTCTCTCTCCCTCCGCCTGTCATCCTGCTTGCACGCGCTCTTCCTCTCAAATAAATAAATAAATCTAAAAAAAAAAAAAAAAGCGTCAACTGAGGTTCTTACAAAACAGGCAGATTTCCCAGCCACTTCCCCCAGAGATACGGTTCATGAAATTTAGAAAGGGACCTGGGACTGCTGCATTTAACACCAGTCTCAGATGAATTTTTATATCTGGACAAGTTGGGAAAAGACTAGGGCAATAGTTTTCAACTATTTTCTGATTTAATTTATCTAGGGGTGGGGCCAGGCACTGGTGTATCTGAAAAGTTTCTCAGGTGATTCTAGTATACAGCTATTCCAGTGTTCAGAAATGATAGTCCAAAGCAGTAGTTGTCAAATGTTTTGGTGTCAGCATTCCTTTGTACACCTAAAAAGGAGTGAGGATACCAAAGAGCTTTCGTTTAGGTGGTTTATATTGATATTTCTCGCAATAGAAATTAAAACTAAGGAAAATTCTTAGTATGTATTCATTTAAGAATGATGATTATGAAAAAGAATCATAATAGACTCATTAAGTAGTAATACAATATAAATAACATGATTTTAAAGAAAAATTTATTTTCCAAAACCATTGACAGGAGTAGAATCATTTTCTATCTTTGTCTATCTCCTTAATGTTGGCTTATAGAGGACAGCTAGATTCTGGATTTAATCGGACTATGTTGTTTTGTTTAAAGACTTCAAATTGAAGTATATGAAGGAAATCCAGCCTCTTGGAAATAAGCAGTTGAAAAAGGAAAGAGTATTTTAATAGGCTTTTCAGATAATTGCGGAGATCCTTCTTTGACACACACCATAATTCATTAAGTGCTAACTTTGTAAAGGTTTTTTGTTATGTGAAGTCTGAAAGTGTATCAGTGAACTTTTCATGCCCTGTTCCATTAAAATCCATTAGTGTATCTTATACTTTGAATATATCTTTTACTCAGGCATGATTTTGTAATATGCGTTGGTCATTTGAAAAACTACTGTGAGTTTTGTGGTTCTTCCTAATGCTTGCACATTTCATATTGTATAATGTCAAAAAATCACATTTATTAATATCACAGTCTCAACAGAAAGACCTTAAGTATTGAGAAGCTGGCTAGATGATAATGGTGGATCAAATTTTCTAAAATTTTAATTTCCATTTGAAAACTTGAATTTTTATCATAGGCAACATATACGATCAGTTGTTTTCCTCGAAGTGACAGACTCTATTCATTTTCCAGAAAATGTCTGCCAAAATTCCAAGTCTGACTAGCCATAGTTTGTCCATTGTTCTTTCACGTAAAAATGGTGTTTCATGAGAAAAGCTGCTAGTTCAGCTTGCAACTCACTCACGGACTTTTCCTGAAAGCATCAATTCTCCTTCAGTACGCAGCAAAGGTGCTTTATGTGTGCTTCATGTTTCATTCCAGGTAATTTTTTTAAATCTACTCAAGCGTCAAGACTTAATAAAATTAATCTTTTGTGCAGCTTCATCAAGGACGTTCTTGAATTCAACAGCTTTTTTTTTTTAACTGTCATCGTGTGGTAGGGAAGAATAAAATGACTACTAATAGAGAGCGGGGTGCCCCTGCCTCGATTTGTGCTAAGGAGCCAGAATTCTTTTTATTGCTATTGCATATTCAGTGCAAATGTCAATACAGTGAAAAAGGCAGATAGCCTCTTAGTATTATTATAAAAAATGGTTTCGACCTCCTGGTCTCCCTGGAAGGGTCTTGGGGACTGTACTTTGAGAACTGCTGACCTAGAAGACCAGAGAGCAGTGTTAATAGGGGATTTGGGTAGGGCAGGTTGAGCATTCATTTACATTTATATTTCTGAGACTAGAATATCTACCACACATAGTTATTTCGTTATTTTATTTAAGCCTCACAGTAACATTCACACAGTAGATAGCATTATTCCCATTTCACAAATAAGGAAATTGAAGCTCAGAATGGTTCAGTAATTTTCTGGATGAAACAAGGACCAGGAATTTAGATGAAAATCTAGATCTTGGTGATTTTAAGCTTGTTCTCTTGCCCTTCCTTCTATTGAACTATTCTGGGCTTGAATGGCAGGTATAAGACTTAATGAACACTTACTAGGCTCTAAAAACTATTCTCAGAAAAAAATATAAGTAAAAACCATTCTCAAAATTTGAAATGTATTAGCTTATTTCATCCTCCCGACAGGGTCCAGATTAGCCTTATTTTAAATGTGAGGAAACAGAGGCCCAGGGAAGTTCCTTAGGTTTTCCAGAGACACAGAGCTAATAACTACGGAGCTAGGATTTTAACCCAAGAACACTGACTTCCAGAACCATTTTGCTGCGGCACCTGAGTGGCTCAGTCAGTTAAGCATCCGACTCTTGGTTTTGGCTCAGGTCATGATCTCACGGTGGTGAGATTGAGGCCCGAGTTGGGCTCTGTGCTCGAGCTCAACAAGGTGTCTGCTTGAAGATTCCCTCCCTCTGCCCCTCACCCCACTCTCTCTCTCTCTCTCTCTCTCTAAATCTTTAAAAAAAAAAAAACATTTTGCTAAAATATCCCCTAATTAAAAACACTGAGAAACCTAAAATTATATATATGAAACAAATACATGAAACAAATTAAATCGTGAAACAAATATTTTGCCTCTTGACATATAAAATAGCATATGATCAACAAATCTTGGTGTATATGTTTCATTTCCTCAAGGCGAGGCAAAAGCATGTGTAGAAAAACCTTCAGTGTATGGAAATTTAGGCAAGAAGTTAATTCACATAAATCACTTCGAGTCCTAAAAGGAGCATAGTTCAGTTTACATTTCAGCTTTTCAAGATCAGGATGTGGTGACCCAGGGTGCAGATGGGAAAATTATGTGGTCTATGTCATACTGAGCATATGACAGACACCCGTTGAAGAGCGCACCTGTTCCTGGAGAAGACCAGGGCTCTGGAACCCTCATGGGTGTAACAAGAGAACCATTTCCTTTACCATTTACCACCTCAAGAATTAGTCCTCTTGGGGTTTATTTCCTTTTTCTAAAAATAACGGCAGCAGTATTGTTACTCAATCCCCTAAAATGGCTTTCTGTGTTAACTTCCAAGACAAGAGCTCTTTTTCTGAAGTGGGATTTCACTTCTCCAGCCAATGGGAGACCCCTCACCTAGAAAGAAAGGTTATTTACTTTTATCTATGAAAAAGCATAAAAATGCAGACAGGCTGCCCCCCACTTGCTCCTCCTGTCCCTGTGTGCTCAAGAAAATGCCTCCCTCGGGAACAGGTCTTCTACCAACCTTGCCTTCCCACATCAGAGCAGGGCAGGGCAGAGGGTCTCTATAGGGCAGGAAGGGCCTGTGGGGGCAGGAAAGCCTCCTGGAGTGGGCGCCATCTACCTGCCAGAAAGCAAGGAAGAGAAAATCTTGTTCAGTAACTAAGAACCAACTTTTCCACTGATGCTCTTCCTCTCCTCCTACTTGCCCTCCTCCCCATGAGGTTTCAGTCTCTGCTTATCACCCACAGGAATTGCCCAGTAATAGGGAGGAGAAAGGAAGAGATGACCGACCTGTCTTCTGTACACAAACTTTTCTTCCCCCAGGCTCATCCCTTCCCTCCTGCCCACTGCGGCCCCTCAGCTCCAAACCTGATGCAGGCTTCTCCTTCCTAAAGCTTTCCCACTTCCCATTAGGGTCTTTATTCCCCAACCCTAGAATTCCCGTCCCTGCCCAGAGGGACTCCACCTGAAGCTGGGAACCTGAAGGATCTACTCTCCCATTTAGAGCTGCCTCGAGGGGTCAGAAAGCTCTTTATCCTACAAGTATTACTACACCTAGTGGTTCTGATCTGTATTTTCTTCACATAGCCTCCACTTCCATTCTGCAGAAATGAGCTGTTTTTCCTAGCCTGGGAACCTAACCACATTTCTATCTTCTCATTTATTTTTTCTCATTAATTCTATTCAGTATCTTTTTTAAAGGGCTATCCTGGGGCATATGCAGAAATCCTTGCCCCAACCCAAGAATTTTAACACAAAGTATAGCCTAGGCCCCTTAGAGGGTTGGCAGAAGACTTGCTCCCTTAGATAACATGGAGCAGGCATTAATTCTCCCAGTCTTCTCACCTCTCGGCAAAGAACAGAATCTGTGAAAAGTGGGAGGTGTAGCCCTGTGCTACGAAGCGTACTGAGTAAGGGTCCTGGATCCCTGGGAGAACAGGAAAAGAGTCTCAGGAGAGGGGAGGTTGATTGCCTCCTGGCTTGTGTCCCAGCATGATAAAGAAGGCAGCTCATGCAGGGCCTCACAAAACAGGCGCAGACTGACCTTGAGAGTCCCCTCACATCAGGGCGGCCCTGTTTTGGAAGACAGGATAGCAAGAGGCAGGAGAACCAACTTAGGACAGCAACTGGAATAGACGGGCCATGAGGATGCGTTATGAAGCCTAAATTGGGGGTTGCAGCTATGTAGGAATTTGCCCTTCCCATAGCCATAGAAGAACAAAACCACCAATTCCTCAGGATTTCAGTAGTTCTTGCTCATTCTTCTCCCGAAATTTCTCTTTCCCTTCCTATCTCTAGTACCACACCCATTCTCCCCAGCCTCCTCTCTTCCCAGCTAGAAAGGGGCAGCTCCTTCCCCACCATTTCCCAGCCTCTGGTCAGGTCTTACCACCCACTCCGTAGTTCTCATTCTTTCACCATTCTCTGTGCCTCTTGGTATTAGCAGTTCTCAGTATCATTCAACAGGCATTAGCTTCTCTTAAGTTTTTTTTTTTTTAATTATTTATTTATTTATTGAGAGAGAGCGCACGTGTGCAGGGGAAAGAGCAGAGGGAGAGAGACAAGCAGACCACGTTGAACACAGAGCCTGATGCGGGGCTTGATCTCACAATCCTGAGATCATGGCCTGAGCCGAAATCAAGAGTCAGAGGTTTAACCGACTGAGCCACCCAGGCATCCCTCTCTTAATTTGTTTAATTGTCTTAATTAGTCTTACTCGAAAAGAGATATCCTCAACTTTATTAGTTCTTGCCACCTAGCCAAAACATTGAAAATTTCAGTGAATTGAAATGAAATAGACTTCCAAGATCTGGTGTAAGTTACACAACGAGCAAGATGTTGTGTAAGGTTTGAGGTGTGCTACCGTTTGTCGGGAAAAAATAAGTATATTTCTAAATACATAAATTATTTCTGGGAGGGTATGGAAAAAGCTATATGCCCTTTGGTGACTTTTGAAACTTGGATTATGTGTGTCTGTTACCTTTTCTACAGAAGAGAGTAAATCTTTAATAAAGTCATAGTGTGTGAGGCAAGTTATTTTCCACTCATTTATGTTATAAGCAAGATTATTAAGAAAAAGGTTTATCTGCGTAAGGGTAACTATCAAAAAATTAAGAGTGATTATCTTGAAAAGACGTTCTTCCCCTCGCTTTTTGCTTATTTGAGGTTTCTACGATTTAATTCTTGAAAAATAATAAAGTGGAAAATAAAATGAGCTTGCATGGGGGCAGGGGGTAAATGGGAAATCTTTGTACCTTCTGCTTAATTTTGCCATAAACCTACAGCTACTCTAAAAAACAAACTCCTAAAAAAATGATTGGAATATTGCCATACATAAAAAATGCAATTATAGAAATTCAAGACATGGGTAAAAAGGCAGGAAAAGAGACCAGAAATGTATCAGACACATTTCCATATGTATCTTTCTAATAGCTGCCTAAGGCTTGAACTATTTTCTATTATTTATCCCTTTCATATTACAAATCATGTGCCTCATTTCTTACTATAAATATACACCCACAAGGCACAGCTTTGTGTCTATCCGGACATCCTCAAACCTCTGAGATCCAAGACCTGAAAGCCCCCTCAGGATACTCTCATTTCAGGACCCCCTAGGACGTCCCTAGTACCTGGTATACACATACCTTCAGCTAACTGCCTAGATTGAGACAAGTTCTGGTTTTGAGAACTTGAGAACCTTTGAATGTACCTTCATCAAAGCACCTTGTCCAAGAAGTCAAGGATTCCAGCACACCCCCTTAGTCTGAAATTACATGTCACCCCCAGAACCAGGACAACACTTAGCATTTGCACGTGCCCTCACCCTTGGCATTGCCATGTAACTCTTATCTTCTACATCATTCATTCTTTATTCAGTCATTGCCATCTTAGGTTTTTTTGGTTGTTTTTTTTTTTTTTACCTAACCTTTGTGGCAGAGGTTGGGAGAGAGCTCCTACCATCAAGCAACTGTTTGTGTTTGACTTCCCAGTTAGAGACTTGCCAAGGTTGAGTCATAAATAGTTTCGAGTCAGAATACCATAAATACTTGAATAGAGAAATTATTTAAAAGGTGCTACTGGAGTAATTAGTTATGGCCAAAAGCCTTGAGGAAAATTTAACAGGTGAATAAACATGGGAGCTGAGTCAGGAAGAATAAAGAAGCAATCTCCAAGTAGAAATTGGTAAAAGAATATTCCAAGGGGAAAGAGCAGCATGGGTAAAATTAAGGAGATAAACTGCTGCACAGTGAGGGAATAGCCAATAATTGACTGGATTTAGAGCACAAAGCCCTGGAGGTGGGGGGATAAGGTGGGAGTGAATGGAAAGGAAACAGAAGGGGAAGGGTCCTGAAAGTAGGGTAGGTACCCTCACTGGGAAGGACCTAGCAAGCCTGTGGAGCCATAACTCCAGGCTTCACTTGAGTTGGGGTCAGGCTTACCTGATAAACTGGTAGGACCAGGGGGACTCTTTGTACAAGGATACCATCAGGGAATGAAAAGGACAGCCTGATTTTGTCCCCGCTGTAGGTTCCTTGCCCCTGGACTCATGATTACCATTGAGGATATGGCCTATAGACAGAAGCTGAGGCACTGGTTTTGAAAGGAAATGTTGGCACAGAAGCTCAAGCAGGTCTGGGTCAATGTCCAGGAGATAAACGTTGACTGGGAGAGAGTGGACATTTTCCCCACTTCTGCACATAAAAACCACCTGGCTTTGGTACTTCAAGGATTACAGAGAATGCGATGGTATGTTGATACCTTGAGGGTTTACAGCATGAAGCAAGTTCACTTGATGCAAACAGCAGTATTATCATGGAGTGGGGACCTCCCCATATGTGGTAGGGTCTAGGTACCAACCTGCAGTGTTTTTGTGGGCAACAGATACCCACAAGAGTACTAAAGAGGAAGACCTTGAGATGACAGGTGATAAACTTATGCAAGGTCCCGGTCAAGACTCAAGAAAATGAAGAGCTGGGTGTATGTTTACGATTGTGGAAGGGATGCTAGAAGCCTTCGCTCAGCAGGAGAGGCAAAGCCAGTACCATCTGAGGTAAGGAGGTGATGCCTAGCGGAGCAGATAGAAACCATCATAGCTGAGGTCACGTGTACAACAGGTGGACCACTGCCAGTAAGCGGTGACATCCGAGACCACTCTGCCTCCAGCACAGCCTGCTGAGGGAGGAACAACTGCCCACTGGCACACATAATCATGAGAAATCACAAATAAGAGTTCGTTGGTGGGCGCCTGGGTGGCTCAGTCAGTTAAGCGTCTGCCTTCGGCTCAGGTCATAATCCTGGGGTCCTGGGATCGAGTCCCACATCGGGCTCCCTGCTCTGCCGGGAGCCTGCTTCTCCCTCTCCCACTCCCCCTGCTTGTGTTCTCTCTCTCTCACTGTGTCTCCCTCTGTCAAATAAATAAAATCTTTAAAAAAAAAAAAAAAGTTCGTTGGTTTAGACCACGAAGTGTTGCAATGGTTTGTTACCTAATAAAAACGAATTGATACAGCCCCAAGATGAGAATTGGTGAGAACAGCTGCTTAAGTACGGCTGACAGTTTGATCCAGGTCCCCAGATGCAGGGAGCATAAACCTGAATGAGAAGGCTACTTTGGGAGCGTGTAGAGGATTTGTAGTGTGTCAACTTAGGTAAGCTGAAACTACATTTCCCAGAACTTCTTTCCCTGCAGAGTTCCCATGTGGCTGGAATCATGAGACATTCTGTGCGTTGTTCATCACAAGATGGAAGGAGAATCGCAGTCATTTTCTCTTGAATTCAGAAGGTTGGAGTGGGGCGTGAGGTGCTCGTGCCGCTCACACATGTGTCACCGATCTGCTGGATGGCCCACTTGGCCTGTGGCAACAGCAGGCTCTGTAGCCCTTCCAGCCTCTGTCACCTCCTCCCCCAGCTTCTCGGACTCCCAGGCCAACTGTGTGCTTAACTCTGTGCAAAAGGCACCAGCTTCTCCTTTGGAACAGCCGCATCATCAAGGTTGGAGGCTTCAAGGCTATGAGAGACTAACGAGAATTCCAGTCTACCTTCCCAGGTTCCAGCTCACTCATGTTTGTTTCCTTCCCAACTTACTGCCTGAGCCTTCAGGCTCCTGCATCAACAGCCTTGGAAATGACAGACTTATGTAGATCTTTGAACTAGCTCCCACAGTTGGATAAGGTCAAATCCCTGTAATAAATACATAATACATACAGTATCGTGTGTAACATACAGATTATATATATAATATTCTAATTATATGTAATACCAAATTGTGTGTGTGTGTGCATGTGTAAAAAAATCTAGTAGTTCTGCTTCTCAGACTGACCAACGCAGAGAGTCTAAAAACCCTGGCTAGCCAAGATGAATAGAAGGAATTTCTAATGGCCT